GTGAGGCTGCCGCTCCAGGTGCTCGCGTGTCTGCTGCCCCAGGTGCTGGTGAGGCTGCTGCTTTAGGTGCTCGTGAGTCTGCGCCCTCTGGTACTGAGTCTACTGAGGCACTGCACACCTTCACACTGGACTCAGGTGCTTCTCGCTGTTTCTTTCGTGACCACACTGCCCTTGAGCAGCTTGCTCGGCCAGTTGCTGTCTCCCTTGCTGACCCCTTTGGGGGTCCGGTCATTGCGACCTCCTCCACTGTCCTCCCTTGTCCTGCGGTTCCGTCGGGCACACTGTCATGTCTCGACCTCCCCTCGTTCTCTACTAACTTGGTGGCGGGTTGTGCGCTCCAGGACGGGGGTGTCCACCAGTTCACCCCTGCCTACGAGCGCGTGACACACTGCACGTGTGCTCGGACGGGCCGTCACCTGGCTACCTTCACTCGGCAGCCGGGGTCAGACCTGTACACACTGACCACTGAGTCCCCTCAGGTAGCTGCGTCTGCGTCTGCGTCTGCGTCAGGTCAGCTGTCGGCCCCCTGCTCGTGTCGCTCTCTATCGCACCAGACCGTCCTCTGGCACCACCGCCTTGGTCACCCGTCAGTGCAGCGCCTTCGTGGCATGCACAAACGGTACCTTGTCTCTGGTCTTCCCAGGGTTCTCCCTCCCCTCCCACCCTCGCCTGCTCATCCCTGTCTTCCCTGTGTCGAGGGGCGGCAGCGCGCCGCTCCTCACTCCTCCTCGTTTCCCCCGACGACTGCTCCCTTGCACACACTCCACATGGACGTGTGGGGCCCAGCCCGCGTCCGTGGACAGGGTCACAAGAGGTACTTCTTGATAGTTGTTGACGACTACTCGCGCTATACCACGGTCTTCCCCTTGCGCACCAAGGGTGAAGTCCCTGATGTTTTGATCCCTTGGATCCGCGCTTCCCGTCTCCAGCTCAGCGAGAGGTTCCACTCGGACTTTCCTGTCCTGCGTCTGCACTCTGACAGAGGTGGGGAGTTTTCCTCCGACCTCTTGAGGGCCTTCTGTCAGGGGGAGGGCATTGAGCAGTCGTTCACGCTTCCGGCCTCTCCACAGCAGAATGGGGTTGCGGAGCGCCGCATTGGCTTGGTCATGGAGGTCGCTCGTACCTCCTTGATCCATGCGGCTGCCCCCCACTTTCTGTGGCCGTTTGCGGTCCGATACGCTGCGCATCAGCTCAACCTCTGGCCACGTGTCTCCGTTCCGGAGACTTCGCCGACACTGCGTTGGACGGGAGAGGTTGGCGATGCGTCAGTGTTCCGGGTCTGGGGATCTCGTGCTTTTGTCCGCGATTTATCCGCGGACAAGCTCTCCTCCCGCGCTGTTCCTTGTGTCTTCCTTGGCTTTGTCCCCGACGCGTCTGGTTGGCAGTTTTACCACGCCACCTCGCGCCGTGTCCTGCCCTCTCAGGACGTCACTTTCGACGAGTTGGTCCCCTACTACCGCCTCTTCCCCTACCGCACTGCCCCGCTCCCCCCCCCCGCCTCTCTTCCTCGCACCAGGTGCTGCTGTGGTAGACCCCCTCCCCCCTCAGGGTGCCGCTCCCTCAGGTGTGTCCCAGGTAGACCCGGTTGAGCCTGTCGAGGTAGCTGTCGACTCTCGTCCTGCTGGGGGTGCGGAGCCTGGGGGTGCGGAGCCTGGGGGTGCTGAGCCTGAGCGTGCGGAGCCTGGGGGTGCTGAGTCTGGGGGTGCTGAGCCTGCGGGTGCTGAGTCTGGGGGTGCTGAGCCTGAGAATGCTGAGTCTGAGGGTGCTAAGCCTGGGGGTACTGCGACTGAGCGTGCTGAGTCTGGAGGCGCTCCCTCTTCCCAGCAGCTGCGTGAGTGGTACTCGCGGTACTGCAGCCTCAGGAGGAGCGCTTCTGGGGCTCGGGGTGCTGCTGGAGCTGGTGCTCGTGGTTCCCCGCCGAGGCGGGAGCCGCCCTCTCCCCAGTGGCTCCGAGAGTGGTACGCTCGGCGCTGCAGTCTCCGGAGTGGTGCTGCTGGTGACGCCGACCCTGGAGTTGGAGCTGCTGCTGGTGCTGAGGACCCTGGAGCTGGAGCTGCGGCTGGTGAAGCGGACCCTGGAGCTGGTGCTGGTGCTGGTGCTGCTGGCGCAGGAGCTGCTGGAGGTGCTGCTGGTGCTGGAGCTGCTGGAGGCACTGCTGGTGCTGGAGGTGCTACTGGTGCTGGAGCTGCTGGAGGCGCGGCTGGTGCTGGAGGTGCTGCTGGTGCTGCTGGAGGTGGTGCTGGTGCAGGTGCTGCTGGAGGTGCTGCTGGTGCTGGAGCTGCTGGAGCCGCTGGTTCTGGAGGTGCTCGTACTGGAGGTACTGGAGCTGCTGGGACTGGAGCTGCTTCGGGGGTTGGAGCTGGTGGTACTGGAGCTGCTGGGGTTACTGGTGGTGCTGCGGGAGTTGTCGCTGGAGACCCTGGGGCTGAGGGTGCTGGTGCTGTCTCTGCTGGTTCAGGAGGTGCTGAGCGGCAGCGACCGTACTACGTTCCGCTCCTTCAGCAGGTTCTTGGCCTCCCGCCCTCCACTGGTCCTTCTCCTCCCCTACTGAGTCCACCACCTGTCCAGTCGCAGTCACAGTTACCGCTTGCCTCTCCACTGCCTGGTCCTTCTCCTTACGCTGGGCCGACTAGAGGTCTTACGGAGCGTCGTGCGCCTGAGTCTCGTCCTGCGTCGCCTGAGTCTCGTCCTGAGTTGCCTGAGTCTCGTCCAGAGTCGTCTGTCCGCGCTGTCCGCACTGGTCGTCGTGCTCCGCGTCAGCGTCCTCCTCCTGTACTTGGCACACACTATATGACTCTGCGTCCTTCCACTGCTCCTCAGCGTGTCCCTCTGCCGTCTCCTCCTGCGTCCTCTCTTCCTGACGTTGCTGACCCGCCGTCAGACCTTGCTCGTGCTGCCAGTCCTACCGTCACGCGTCTCCTCGCCACTGTTGTCACTGACCCTTCCTTTGAGTCCTCTGCTGCGTCTGCTCTAGTCGCTGAGCTTGTTGACTTTGCTGCCGCCTGTCGTCTAGACTACGCCGCTAGCCTTGTTGCTGAGTCTGAGTCTGTTTGTCCTCCGTTTGTCGGGGGTGAGTGTGCTCTTGGCACGGACGTCCTTGAGGACAGACAGGAGGAGTTTGAGTGCTTTGCCGCTGCTTTACCTCATCTCGTGTCCATGCTGATTGCCCCTGAGGGAGACCCGGATGCACCAGACATACCGACCCCACGCTCTTACGCAGAGGCGATGGAGGGTCCCTACTCCTCTCAGTGGCAGACAGCCATGGACGCAGAGATGGCTTCCTGGAAGTCCACAGGCACCTACGTCGACGAGGTTCCCCCACCTGGGGCGAACATCGTCAGTGGCATGTGGATTTTCAGGGTGAAGCGGCCGCCGGGTTCTCCGCCTGTCTTCAAGGCGCGTTACGTTGTACGAGGCTTTAGTCAGCGAGAGGGAGTTGACTTCTTCCAGACCTTCTCCCCGACCCCGAAGATGACCACTCTTCGGGTTCTGCTGCACGTCGCCGCTCAGCGTGACTACGAGCTCCACTCTCTTGACTTCAGCACTGCGTTCCTACAGGGCAGCCTGCACGAGGAGATCTGGCTGCGCCGCCCACCTGGCTTCACTGGGTCGTTCCCTCCTGGTACCCAGTGGAGCCTCCGGCGGCCAGTCTACGGTCTCCGCCAGGCACCCCGTGAGTGGCACGACACACTGAGGACTACTCTTGCTGCTCTTGGGTTTGCTCCTTCTACTGCTGACCCGTCGCTGTTTCTACGCACCGACACCACTCTGCCGCCGTTCTACGTTCTCGTGTACGTAGACGACTTGGTCTTTGCTACTGCTGACACTGAGGCACTCGCCCACGTGAAGTCGGAGCTGCAGAAGAGACACACGTGCACAGACCTGGGTGAGCTGACAAGCTATCTTGGCTTGCGGATCACCCGGGACAGAGCACAGTGCACCATCACCTTGACTCAGTCACACATGGTGCAGCAGGTTCTTCAGCGCTTCCGCTTCACGTACTCCTCGCCTCAGCCCACTCCTCTGCCTACCGGTCACTCGCTCTCAGCTCTGCCTTCGGATGAGTCCGTAGAGCCGAGTGGCCCGTATCCAGAGCTTGTGGGCTGCCTCATGTACCTGATGACCTGCACTCGACCTGACCTTGCATACCCTCTTAGCATCCTAGCACGCTATGTCGCTCCTGGCCGTCACCGGAAGGAGCACATGGATGCCGCTAAGAGGGTGTTGCGCTACTTGTGCAGTACGTCGGGCATGGGGCTTGTGCTTGGAGGACGGAGCGACGTTGTCCTCACTGGGCACTCAGATGCTTCTTGGGCTGATGACCAGGCTACGCAGCGGTCGTCTCAGGGTTACTCCTTCAGCCTTGGCTCTGGTTCAGTTTCTTGGCGTTCTACACGCTCGTCTTCAGTTCTCAGCTCCAGTTGTGAGGCTGAGATCTACGCCACAGCCATGGCTGCACAGGAGCTACGCTGGCTCACCTACCTGCTGACCGACCTGGGAGAGCGGCCTCGTTCTCCTCCAGTGCTGTACGTCGACAACAAGGCCGCCCTTGCCTTGTGTCAGGAGCACAGACTGGAGCACAGAACGAAGCACATCGCTCTGCGCTACTTCCTCGCTCGAGAGCTGCAGCAGCGTGGTCAGCTTCGTCTTGCGTACGTGGCCACTCGGGCCAACACTGCTGATGTGTTCACCAAGGCGCTTCAGCCTTGTGATCATCAGCGTTTCTGTACTATTCTAGGCCTTGTGCCTACTGTCCCTCACTTGCTCACTTCTTGACTCTACTTGTACTGTGATCTCTATATATATACCTGCATGTTTACACTTGCTAGGTTGTGATCACTGTACCTCTTGTTATATTATCAAACTGCATGTGAACTGGTCTTGTGACCACTTGCTTGTGCTCGGAATTTGTGTGGTATCCTTGAGATCCACCCTGAGCTTGGTTTGCTTTGCTTTGTTTTGACTGGTCTTGTGACCACTTGCCCTCCCCCACTTAGCCTATGGGGGTGTGTCAAACATTATACTTGTTATATTTGTGTAGGCTATAGTGGGTTAGCCTTCTAGGGGGTACACTACTCTAGGTTTTGGTACTTGTACTCCCATTCCCTTTCTAGTTCATCATTCTCGTTCGTTCTCAGATTCTAACATCCCGCAGTCGTGTCCCCTGCCACCTCCTCTCTCCCTCTCTCCCCGAACCAGCCCGCCCCCAAAGGCTGCTGCCCCTGCTGTCCCCTCTCCTCTACCCCACTTGTCGGCCTCTCCTGCCCCTGCTGAACCTCCTGTTGCTGGCTGTGCTGTCCTCTCTCCTCTCCCCCACCAACCTGCCCCTCCTGCCTTTGCTGGCCATGCTGTTGCTGTTGCTGCTGCTGCTGCTGCTGCTGCTGCTGCTGCTGCTGCTGCTGCTGCTGCTGCTTCTGCTGCTGCTGCTGCTACTGCTGCTGCTGCTTCTGCTGCTGCCGCTGCTGTCCCCTCTCGTCTTCCCTAGTAGCCTGCCCCCACTGACCCTCCTGCTGTCGCCCCTGTTGACCCTCCTGCTGCTGACCCTTTTGTTGCTGCTCTTGCTGTCCTCTCTCCTCTCCCCTACTGGCCTGCCCCTCCTGCCCCTGCTGGCCCTCCTGCTGTCGTCGCTGCTGTTGCTGTCTCCTCTCCTCCTCCCAGCCAGCCTGCCCCTGCTGACCCTCACGCCGCTGCCCTAGCTGATCCTCCTGTTGCTGCCCGTGCTGACCCTCCTGCTGCCGCCCCTGTTGACCATGCTGACCTTCCTGGTGCTGCCGCTGTTGCCCTCTCTCCTCTCCCATACAAACCTGCTGCTGCCCCTGCTGGCCCCGCTGCTGTTGCTGCCGCCGCTGCTGCTGCTGCTGCTGCCGCTGCCGTTCCCGCTGCCGCTGCTGCTGTTGCTACTGCTGCTGCTGCTGCTGCTGCTGTCCCCTCTCCTCTCCCCCACTAGCCAGCCCCTCCTGCCCCTGCTGGCCCCGCTGCTGCTGTCCTTGCTGTCCCCTCTCCTCACCCCTACGGGTCTGCCCCTCCTGCCCACGCTGGCCTAGCTGCTGCTGCTGCGGCTGCCGCTGCTGCTGCTGCTGCTGCTGCTGCCGCCGCTGCTGCTGTCCCCCCTCCTCTCCCCCACTAGCCAGCCCATCCTGCCCCTCTCGGCCCTCCTGCCCACCAGCCCCTCGACCGAGCCCACCCTGCTGCTGTTGCTGTCCCCACGGTGTCCCTGGCTGTCCCGGTACCCCCTCCCCCGTCCCCGAGAGTCCCTGCAGTCGCGCTCTAGCTGCCTCCAGTAGCAGAATCAAAGTGGTGTCCTCCACCTTCACCGCAAAGCCTGCCTCGGAAGCAAAGTCCCGAAGCATGTATTTCGCGGTGTCGTGGATGACTGTGGCGACGCCGAAGCGAGAGCACCGCACCACGTGGTGAGGTACCGTCATGTCGTCGATCGCGTGCCCACAAGAACACCGACCTGCGAGGGCTAGTTGGGGGATAGGGAGGCCGAGACGGAAAGCTGAGGCCACCTGCCACTGCGCCTTTGGGATGCGCAGCGAGTCTGCGTACGGCACCGCCGTCAACCACGCCCCTGCACCTGCGCCCTTAAAGCGACGGGCAACTTTTGTCAGTGTTGGGTTCAGAAGTTTTTTTTTTTTAACCAGGCTTGCCAGCGCGAAAGTGCTGGCTGGCGAAAACCAGGATTTCGTGCGGACACTTTCCATCCGCAGTAACAGTTCGCCAGGGTTCTGGGTTTTGGGTGGCAAATGTGCACCGTCGCTTTAAGGGATGTCAAACGGGCAAGGTGCAAGGGGTTAGTGTGACGGGCCCGGACTGACTCCAAGGCCCGCGCCTCCAAGACGCGGCTCACTCATGTGGGCAGCAGAGAGTGCCAGAGGGGGAAGAGAGAGAGGATGTCACGTGGGAGGCCCTCCAGCGCCGTCCGCAGTGATCGATCGATCTGGTCAACATCATCCGATGCGAAGCTCTGTCGGAATCTCGCGCCGCACACTGGGAGGGAGCGACGTGAGAAAACGCACGCAACAAACGGTCACGCGCAATATCGACGGCATGCGATGACAGGCGAGAATCGCCCTTTGCAGTCAGTGATGCCTTTTGGGTCTCGGTGGCGGACTTGCGTGTTCGGCTGCACATCACCCCCACCTTCTGCATCCCATTACTGTAATAACTTCTCCCCTCATCCTTACCAAGCCCACAAAACACCTCTCACCACCATTCCTCACCAGCACAATTTATTTTCTGCAAGCAATTTTTACGCTCGCTCACCAAGTTTGAAGTAGTAAGACAAGTGATTCCTTCCTTCTACGCTACGCCTTATCTCTTTGCCAGAGATTCTTTCGAATTTTAGCATGACGGTAGTTAACAGATTGGTGAAGCCCCCTGGTGGCGACTCAACTGCCGATGTGCTCAACTGGAGCGAGGGCAATCTATCGCAATCCGGCAACTTGTTATGAAGATAATTATGCCAAGAATCCAACATATATCTCCTTCGTGCCCGCTTTTACGTGCACGTTGTATTCTCCGCTTCAATACTGTACTCCCGGTATTTCCACTTTCCCTTACGCATGGTTCCCCTTCCGTGATTTTTTCTCCATCGCGTCAACCCCAACTCCTCCTGGTCCCATCCCTCCAGGCAGCAAGAGCCAGATTCTCTTCGGCGACGAGGACTACCTGCCGACCAAGGCGCTGTGCCCGGAGAAGCTGACGGACCTCATGGGCACGCTCAGCTGCGAGCCCGACAGCGAGGAGAAGCGCCGGCCGCTGTGCCAGGCGAAGCTTAAGGACCTGTACGGCTCGCTGTCGCTGTACAGGGAGGAAGTCGTGGAGGAGGTCCGCCCGTCCATCACCGTGCACCAGGTGAGCTTCGACTCCGTGCTTGGAGACTCATCCCCGAGATTCTATTCTTCTGCTTTTATCTGCTTCAAACACGGAGTCCTGTCCAAGTTCTTGTGCAGGTGTACGCTGATTTTCTGTTTGATTTTGTGTCCGCAGCTTCCCGGTGGTGCGAGCTCTATTATCTTCGGCGGAGACACCCCCCCCAGCCCGCCGAAACGTCGACCGTCCGATTGGAAGATCATCGATTTGATGGGTCGCGGGACGATGGAGCCGACGGACGCGGGGAAGCAGCAGATTGGCGCGGCAAAGCGTCGCGAGCTGCAGGGAGAGGATATTTTCGCTGACAGAAAGCTCAACATCCGCAGCTGCATCGGCATCCACCAACCGCCTGGTGGTGGGAGCTCGTTGTCACTGGTGTGAGGGTGGCTGGAAACAAAAGACTTCTTAATCAGGGTATTTATTGTCACGACCGCTATACATAGCTACTTGGGTTCTGTGAACGTTGCTGGCGCTAAGCTTTACTTACTCTGTTCTATCGAAGATACCATCTTTAGTATCTTTAGTTATTTGTGTGTTGAAACTTTATTTGCATACATCTTGGGTGAATCAGCAGAGGTCTAAACCATTTTCCGTATGGGCATACTACGCGATGCTTGCGAAGAGATGCTCCTACCGCTATCTCAGCTTGCCGCTGAAAACAAAGACCGCGAGTTCATGCGTGACAATTGACGGGTAAGATGGAATGCTCAAGTCAGCAATCTTCATCCACAGCGGTTTTACAAATAGCTGTGCGTGGACCACGCGGTGTTCGATTACCTAGTCGAGACTTACGGCGAAACGTATCCATAGAGCCTTGTCAAATTGTTATTTGCTGTGTAGGCTGTAGTGGGGTACTCAACAGAGAGTACAACCCTTTTAGGGTTCCTATATGTATCCCACCTGCCTCCTAGTGCAAACCCTCTTCTGCTCTTACCATTCCTGCCTGCTTATTCTAACATGGTAACAGAGCGTCTACGCTCCTGGCCTGTGGGCCCACTTGCTTCCGCTGCTGTACTGTCTGTCTCGCGCCCCGTGGCGCGCGACGTTTTTTCTTCCCGCCACGCGCTCGAGGCGCGTGGCGGTTTTCTGCCCGCCACGAGCTCGGGGCGCGTGGCGGTTTCCTGCCCGCCGCGCACCCCGGGCGCGCGCGGCGGTTTCATGCCCCGTCGCCCGTCGCGGCGCCCCGGGGGCCCGCGCGCTGCCCTGTCCGTCGCCCGTCGCGGCGCCCAGGGGGCCCGCGTGCTGCCCTGCCCGTCGCCCGTCGTGGCGCCCTGGGGGCCCGCGCGTCGCCCCCTCCCGTCGCCCGTCGCGGCGCCCTGGGGGCCCGCGTGCCGCCCTGCCCGTCGCCCGTCGCGGCGCCCTGGGGGCCCGCGCGTCGCCCCCTCCCGTCGCCAGTCGCGGCGCCCTGGGGGCCCGCGCGCCGCCCTGCCCGTCGCCCGTCGCGGCGCCCTGGGGGCCCGCGCGTCGCCCCCCCTCCCGTCGCCCGTCGTGGGGCCCTGGGGGCCCGCGCGCCGCCCTTCCCGTCGCCCGTCGCGGCGCCCTGGGGGCCCGCGCGTTGCCCCCCTCCCGTCGCCCGTCGTGGCGCCCTGGGGGCCCGCGGGGCGCCCTTCCCGTCGCCCGTCGCGGCGCCCCGGAGGCCCGCGCGCCGCCCTGCCCGTCGCCCGTCGCGGCGCCTTGGGGGCCCGCGCGTCGCCCCCTCCCGTCACCCGTCGCGGCGCCTTGGGGGCCCGCGCGCCGCCCTGCCCGTCGCCCGTCGCAGCGCCCCAGCTACTGCCCGCGTATCTGTCCCGCGCCCCACGCGCGCCGCCTGCGTTGGGGGTATGGGGGTGGGTGTGTGAGCCGTACCCTGCTCCTCCTCCTCCTCTGTCTCCCACTGCTGCAGCTGCCACTGAGGGGGGTGGGTGTGTGGGAGCCGAGGGAGTGGCGCTAAGGGGGTGTCGTGGGAGTGGAGCTAGGGGTGCAGCAAGTGGTGTGTGAAAGGGGTGTGGGACAGTTGGGGGAGGTTGAACGGAGGTAGCCGTCGTAAAGTCTGCAGCTCCAGTCGCCCGTAAGGCGTTGCGCCAGGAGCCTGTGTGCCAGTTGCTCCAGTCGCCCGTGGGTCAGTTGCTCTTGCCGGCGAGCAGAGCCAGTTACTCCAGTTGCCCGTGTGCCAGTTGCACCAGTTGTTCGTGAGCCACTCCATTTTGCGTCGTGTGCCAGCAGCTTCAGGGGCCGCCCTCCTATCTCCACTCCTCTCACAGTCTCTCCTCCTCCTCACTTGCCCTCTGTGACTGCCCCTAGCGTTGCGGTACAGAAGGGCAAGAAAGTGACCTGAGGGCGGGCTGATCAGCTACTAGGGCGCTGACAGATGAAAATATTCGCGATGTCTGGATTCACATACAATATATAATGCTGGGTATTAGTTTTGAGGCAATAAAAAATCCTGTATGAAAGTTCGGAATAAACTGAAATTCAGTTGGCAGAATCTATTCCATTTAAAATTTGAGGTAAAACTATCTTGTCCTCTTCTTCCCCTCAAGGGGATGCCCACGTCTTTTCTTGCTAACAATAGCTGGGTAATTACTGTGAGGCCCATTCTTTCCTCTCAGTTGTGACTTCCACCAATTGAAAAAAAAACACGCTAAGGTAGACATAGGGCTATTTTGAACGGTTACAAGAATCTTATATGATGGACATTTACAGCTTCGCAAGAAGGGCAGACACCTTGGACTTGGTGGCATCGAAGAACTTCTGAGCAGCCTCCTGGTCCTTCACGCGGGCAGCATAGTCCAACTGCAATGGAGCAAGTGCAAATTAACAGTTTAGAAATGGTATGCACGTCAATTTTGTGGTGTGGAAATAACAGAAGCAAGCAGATACTCAATGCGCCGTCGACTTACCGACTCCAGGGTGGTGATCAGCTCCTTGAGCTCGGCGTTAAGAGCCTTCTTCTCGGCCTTGGCCTTGGAGGCGATGACGGTGGCAAGATCGTATCTCAAGTAGCCGAGCTCGGAGCGCAGCTCGTTGCGGACATAGGGCCACGCCTTCTTGGAGATGTAGCCCTGAACCTCGGGGAGGACGCCGATAACCTCCTTAGTGCGGGCGAGAGCCTCATCGGGGGTCTTGATCTGGATGAAGAACCGCTCGCTCAGGGGGGCATCGAAGTCACGGGCCTGGTCAGAGTTCTCAGTGCCGGCTGCAGGTAAACAGGGAAGAAGTACACAGGACGACGTTCAGGCGAAGAGGTAAAAACGAACTGAAGAGCGGTACAAC